CTGCATTAGTGGGAGCATTGCCAGCAGATCGAGGGAAGTGATTATTCCCCTCTATTTGGCACCGGTGAAGCCACATCTGGGGTATTGCATCCAGTTTTGGCCCCTCCACTACAGAAAGGATGTGGACAAATTGGAGAGAGTCCAACGGAGGGCAACAAAAATGATTAGGGGGCTGGGGCACATGACTTACGAGGAGAGGCTGAGGGAACTGGGGTTAGTTAGTTTGCAGAAGAGAAGAGTGAGTGGGGATTTGATAGCAGCCTTCAAGTACCTGAAGGGGGGTTCCAAAGGGGATGGATCTAGACTGTTCTCAGTGGTAGCAGATGACAGAACAAGGAGTAATGGTCTCAGGTTGCAGTGGGGGAGGTCTAGGTTGGATATTAGGAAACACTATTTCACTAGGAGAGTGGTGAAGCACTGGAGTGGGTTACCTAGGGAGGTAGTAGAATCTCTATCCTTAGAGGTTTTAAAGCCCAGCTTGACAAAGCCCTGGCTGGGGTGATTTAGTTGGGGTTGGTCCTGCTTTGAACAGGGGATTGGACTAGATGACCTCCTGAGAACTCTTCCAACACTAATATTCTAGGATTCTATGACGATGATTCTGTCCAGCCAGCCTACAATAAGACCACTGAACAAAGCCCAGTTTAAATGTGATTTGAATAGGTGTCCAAAAAATTGGCCCTTAAGGATTAATTGCAAAAGTATGTAACTATTCAAGAATAGTTACAAAAACACTATTTGTGATATATACTGTAAAATCAGAGTTTATCAGGGGGCAGGGAGAAAGGGAAGAGATGCCTCAGGCATCAAAACAAAAATCACCTTTAATGAACAAACATAGACTCAAACAAAGCTGAGGTTGCTTTGCACTGGGGATTTACAGAAAACATCTGTTAAGCAATCTAGCGCATCTCAGAAACAGAAATGTAAACACTGGTTTCCAACTTGGGGGAAAGCAATAAAAATCTCTGGACTTCCAGTGAGGCAGCAAGAAAATAGAAATTGAAAACATTTTAAGGAACATTGTACAATCTTCCACTTTGTAGCTACACTGGAGAACCTGACATTGCAGTAATGCACTGTCCAGATTTTTTTACTAGGTACACACCAAACAACATTCACAACCAGATACATCTGTGGTATAACTCCATTGACTTCCATTGTGTCAGACCAGCAATGAATCTGGCCCTCAGAATTCACCAATGGAAAGTGAACATTTGAAACATAGCTTAATAGAGCTACCTTCACAACACCATGAAAAATAAAAGCAAAAGCTATTTTCAGTAGAAATTATATTGTCAGATGATAAAGCAGGCCACTAAATATGTATTTGCTTCATAAAAGAGAAAGGGGACTGTTAGAAAATATCTTTAAACAGAAGGGAGATAGTTGGAAAAAAAATACATCAGTACTAAAAGAACCCATATAAAGCAGCCAATCTCAAAGTAAATAAAAGATGATAGCACTTCTAAATCAAATCATTATATTTATTGTATTTGAGCTTTCTGCCTCAAAAGCTATCCTGTAGAAGCTGTCTTTTCTTTTTTCCTTTCTCTTCTTTTAAGCGTTATTGTTGTCAGCTGTGAGGAAAGTCTACCTATAACTATCTGTACCGAAATTCAAATGAAGTAATTATGGCACCTTAAACTAGTAACTCAAAGTAAGAGGCTTTCTTTAAACCGTAGATTGCCATGATGGATTTTCGTCCCCTTCACATTTTTGAAGAAAAGGATATTTAATTATTGTAAAAGATGCCTGACTGGCAGTTCAGAGGTCGAAGCTCCACTTTTTTATACACAGAGTAAGTATACCACAGGCAGCAGCCACGCAAACATCTTCACACTACCCACCCCAAGCACCTGCAGAGGAATCACACAGGTGAGAAGTGCGGTTTGGTTTCTGGCTTAGATTTGCGAGAGCAGGCTTGGTGGGACTTGGGCAGGTACTTCAGTTCCACCGTGTCTCAAGTCAATGAAAGTCCTGCACATCCTTAACAGCAAGCACATGCTTAAGTGCTTTCTGAACCAGGGCCTCTTTGCTGCCATTTCACGCCTGGTTTTTAAGACTGACTAGTAGATCTAAATGCAGTGTTGCTTGATGGAATAGGACATTGGTAGAAACTGGAAAGAGACCACCAAAGGCCACCAAATTCAGAATGAAAAAAATACTTTCAGGTACTATTAAACAGACTGCATCTGAGTAGTAAATCTGATCTAGAAATGAAAGGGTCTGATTTACGAATTACGAATATTTTTCTGAGCCATCCCATCCACTGGCAACATTTACTTGAAATCCTGAAAAATCCCAGGCTTGTGCTTGTTTTCAGAACTCAGCGTTACCAGGACAGAGGATTTTTTATTAGAAACTACTATTTTAAACTCTAATGAAAGGGATCAAAACAGGATACATTGAAGAAAAAAAGAAAAAGAAAAAAAAAGAGGACAATAGGACTAAATAGGGAAATGAGGCAAAAGCATTTCAGATAAAGTGTAACAAACATATGATCTAAAGCCAAACTTTTCAAACCTGGGTGACTAAAGTTAGCTGCCTAAATCCATAGTTATAAATGCAAGTGGTCGGGTTTTCATGTAGATCAGGTCCCACTGACTTATATGGAATTTGTAGGTGTTCAGAACTTCTCAGAAACAGACCGTTTTCATTCAGCTGAAAATGTTGGCCTAAACTACCAAAGATTATTAAAGCAAACCATAAGAATGGTTTCAAGAAAGACATGTAGTTATTTCTGGAGAAGAGGAGGATTGAGGGAAATGGTAGAAATTCAGGGAAGCAGGCATGTGAAAGCCTAATTGGTAGCAACGCTGAATAGAATGGCTTCCTATTCTTATCATATTGAGTCTTCTTATGTACTTCTAACTAGCAATGGGGAGCCTATGGTTATACAACATTATATGCCTATTTTAACTAAAAGTCCTAATGAAATAGCTCTTACAGGGTTAAGGGCCTGATCCAAAGAAAATTATAACAGGATTAACAGCCTGATCAAAAGCCCCTATAAATTAAAGGAAAAGCTCCTTTTCACTTCAATAAGTTTTGGATCAGGCCCTAGAAACTGTTTGTGGTATTGTTTAGTGGCGCTCCGGTAAAAGCACCCTGCTGAAAGCAGCTAGTGTTGTTGGCATTTAGCACCACACTTTTACTGCCAAGAAAAGCTGTTTTGAATCCTTCTTGTTTTTCAGTCTGGTCCCTCAATCTTCAGTTGCTGACAGAATAATTATTAGAGTGAAATTTCTATCACTCTTTTGAAAATGAAACACTGCCAAGTGGATAAAATTAAACGGGAAAAAACAAACAGCAGCAAGAAGAAAATAATAGTTTAATAATACAATTCCTCCCCCCCTTTCAAAATTATATTATATTCAGCATCTCTAGTGTTCACTTCCTACAATCTGGAAATATTCCTGTAAACTGCAGAAGTTTGTGAAACTTTTATAGCCAAATCTGATGGTTTTGGGTGTCAAACTGACTGGTGGAATTAGCCAATGCTCCTAGGAGTCTTTTGCCCTTTTTGGACAACAGAGGTAGGGGGTAGAAAGTGACGGATTTGGGAATGGTTTGTCTGAAGCCAGAGAGCTTTGTCATGACAGGGATAGAAGTTTAAAATGCCATCGTTCTACAGACAGTCGATGTCTTTTGTGTTTGTTTTTTTTCTTCCAGGCACTCAGTATTGTTCTTGCAGGGCAGAAAATTATCACACAGAACAGGTGAAATTTAAAAGGCATCAGGACCAGAGTTTCAATACCAAACTCTGAAAGCTGGCAGGTCTCAAAGGGAAAGTGCTGAAATTCATTGCCTTCATGACAAAACATGTTGATTTCAGCTGTGTGTCATATTATCATATGACCCAGAGCTAGGTTTACAGTGATGGGACTCCCCGCTATGGGAGAAAGGAGGGAAATAGCTCTGTAGGCTTAATTTAGATATTATCTCATCACCCGCAGCCCATTTCTCTACAGTACTTTATGTTATAATGTTTGGGGTTTGGTTGTGTTCTGCTTTTGGAAATTGTATTAAATGGTGTATGTAAGTGTACTGATGTAAGGGAGGGAGAATTCATTAGATATATCCCCAGGGAAATTATGTCAACCTGAGCCCAAAAGCAGTAGGGTACAATGAGCAAAATTTAAAAAGGGAGAAAATGCTGAAGGATTCAGAGACCAAGCACTCTGTCCGAAGACCCAGAACACTGTCCAAGGATCCTGCAGTGCTCTGAGTTTTGTTTCCTGTGTATCAGTTTTCTGAAATCCATGTAAGCCAAAAGTGACTGGTTTTGCATAGGCAAGGTTGGTTAGGTAATATCTTTTACTGGACCAACTTCTGCTTGTGAAAGAGACAAACTTTCAAGCTTACACAGAGCTCTTCTTCAGGTCAGGTTTTGCTTAAGAAGATATACAAGGTGAGAAAAAAAATGCTTTTAATCACCACTTTCCAAATAAAAGTTTGTCCTGGGCATGATGTTAAACTCCATCCTCCACTGCCTTGTGGATACTTCTTGGTTGAAGAAAGGCTAAGGGATCTCACCCAGACAGAAAAGGTGGTCATGCTGAAGTGATAGGCAGTTAGCAGCTCTATCTAGGTTGTTCTCTGGCAGATGCTACAACCTCTATGTCACTGACCGTCCAAACTCGCTCTGACCTTTGGATTCTGGATCAGTGGTCTAAAGGGTGGACAACAGGTCTATGGTAGCCTTCGCTCCTCCATATCTTTGCCTAGGCATATGCGCCAAAGGTCTTGGCAAGACGGTTGTAGGGATCTGAGGGAGGTGCATGGGGCAGCTACCAAGATTTCCAAGCAGCCCTGTATAGGGATGGCCTGCAGGCGGCATGTGAGGGTGGCCCTAGAAAAGGTGGGTCAAAGTAGCTGAAATGAAGCTAACTATAGGTGTTCCCCTCCCTCATAAAATAATGCTATTTTATATTCAGAAAGAAAACTAAGTACAATTGGATGCAAAGATTAATAGAAGAAAACTGGCAAATTCTTACCTCTTTCTTGGTGAATTCTGGTGGGTGATCATTTTTGTCATCGATGACAATGGTAGCTGTCGCTGTGCCAATTAATCCCACATCAAGACCAGCCATGTCCTTCGCTTCTATAATAAGCTCGTACTTAGGGTTTTCCATCGTCTGAAAAAAAAAAATCGAGAGATCAAAAATTCAGTTTCCTCTCCTTCAGACATCAAGAGCAACAACAACACAACACAATTTGGTCTGATACAATATAGGACAAAAATTTATTTGAGCTACTGGTTTACTGAGAGAGTGTGGCTCTCCCCTGGGCTCCAGGGCAAATTTTATCTAAAATACAAGATGAAGCAAGGTATAATGGGTTTATGTTTGTGAACAGTGTATAGGCTACACAATTATTCAACTGTATGGTGAAATGGGACAGAAATTAAAATATTCCCAGGTTTTATGCACTTCAATGCACCAATATTGGTCACATGATTCGTTAATGTTATGATAGTTACATAATTAAATCCTAAAGTCACATACTGAATATAAACTCACACTTTCTTGTATTAAGCCTTATGTACTCTGCACATGCTATTTTAAATGGTAATCCAAATATTCAGAAGTAACAGAAGTAGGAAAGCAATATCTAAAATATGTTATGGCTGGCACAAAAGAATTAGATATGGTGACATTAGCACATTAGATCTATCTAACCATCCAGGCATTTAGTTTTTATGCCATGCTCATCATCTGAGTACCTACCCATCAAAGAACTAGAGAGCACCAGGTCTCCATGCTGGTGCTGCAGCACAACCCATTCTCAATTCCCACCCCACCCCATCTTTCCAATGCTAGCCATAACTTAAAAGCCAAAATGGGGCCCAGAGTGAATTCTGCATTGGGGGCAGCCATAGGGTTCTCAATTCACCTTTTGTGCTGGGCATGGAAGCATAGATGGTGGCCTGCCAGACAAAAGGGTAATATTAGATACCATCAAATGGAATTACTATTCGGTGCCTGAACCTGCTCCCATTGAACTCATAAACCATTTTGACAGGTTTCAGAGGGGTAGCGGTGTTAGTCTGTATCAGCAAAAAACAATGAGGAGTCCTTGTGGCACCTTAGAGACTAACAAATTTATTTGGGCATAAGCTTTCATGGGCTATAACCCACTTCATCAGACGCATGGAGTGAAAAATACAGTAGGCAGGTATAAATAAACAGCACATGAAAAGATGGGAGTTGCCTAACCAAGCGGGGGGTCACTGACTTCAATGGAGGCAGGAATGGGCCCTTCTTAAAATGAGTATTTTCCCCACTTGTATGATGGTCTCGTGTGGTCTATCAACCATATGTGTTGCATTGTCCATGGAGAACAAAGATGGAGAGGTGCTGTAGTCATCTTTAATGTTGTGTAGTAGGAATATCTTGCATGCTCAATAGCTGTTGTTCAAACATGTATCTGGAGTGCTGTCATAAAGGGAGCCAATTGGTGCTGAGTTCCATGCTGCAGAGAAAACAAATGCCTCCCCCATCTCCTCCAAATACCATCACTGCCTCGTGCAGCAGAACTATAGAGGCTGGGACGAGATTTGTCCCCCATCAATTAGCCCCCTGCCATTTAGAATTTAAAAAGCCTCTTTTTGACTATCGCTTAGCAAGCCAAACTCCCAGGGCAGCCACTTTGCAGCTAAGAGCTCACTGCAGGGGTCCTCCAAATTATACATTGTGCAGCCCATTTTATACAAGACAGCCTTTCATGGGGATTTTCCCTTGCCAAGCCCCAAGCCCCCATGTTGTGGCTCTCAAAACATCTGCAGGCCACCAGCAAAGGTTCCAAAGGCAACTGATCAATACCATGGCTCAGTAAGAAACTTGCCGTTCAGGCAGCCCAAACTAGAAGAGATGCTAAACACTGAAAACATAGTTTTGTAGAAAACCTTCAGCTATTGAGCCTTAAAATCCCACCTACCCTGCAAGAGGTGTGTGCCCCTTCATATAGAAACTAAATGTTATTCTGGATGGCAGAAAATCCCCTACTGGGATTTTAAGGCTCCAGGATGGTATATAATTGTACATATAGCAATCTCACTTCAGTGTCTATGACTCAGTGAATGAGCTTGAACATATAAGGCTGGGCAAAATTCACAGAATTTCATTTAAAAATGTTCTCTGTTTCTTTTCAAGCTGTATTGGAACCTTCCCCTCAAATTTAGCTTTCTTCATTATTTTGGAAAAAAAAAGGCTATTATTGAGTAGAAAACTCGCAAAATCGTGTCTTATTGCATGTTTTATAAGCTGACTTAGCTGGAAAAATAGGTCTATTTATGCTCAAAATGGGTCATTTTTTTTGTTTGAAAGCTGGCCCATTTTCCATTGAAAAGGAGTCCATTAGTGGTAGGAAATTGTGCATGTCTCAGCAGAAATTTCCACGACAAGAGTCCAGTTTTCAAGCTCACATTGAAATGTGTAAAACATTGAGCTTTGAGTCGCATTTCATATTATTATGAATACTTCACACTTCTCTGCAGTGCAGCAGTTTATGCATCTAGTCCTGTCACCCAAATATGTGCGGTATTAGAAAAAAAGCAACTCCTGGCATATTCTAACCGAGAGAAGAAGTGTGATCCAATTAGATTCCCTTTACACTAAAATATTGTTTTTGAGGTTCTTTTCAGCATTTCTCATATTTCTAGAATTTAATAGCTCAACTCACTAGTTCGTACTTATTAGCAGCTAACTGTGCCTATGTGATTGTAAAGTATATTTAAGAGACATCTTTTTTTCCCCTCTCCAGTAAAAAGTCCCTTTGAAGATGTTAAGGACATACAAACAAATAGTAATACTTAACTTCTCTCTAATAGCTTTCATTTGATAAGTGCCTTGCAAACATTATCTAATTATAAACAGCCCACTAGCGTAGGAGGATCCTTGGCTGGGAAATCCGGTTGATGTAAGACCTTTTCACCCTATGGGAGTAAGCCACAGCACAGCTCTGAATCAGGACCTATAGTTTATGCTGTTAAATAATATGAATATAACCAACAGAAATTAACTCTGTGTGGGCTCTGGCAAGACAAGTAAGGGGAGGCCTTGCGAGCCAGTAATTTCCAGAGCATCACTCTCCTGATTTCTGAAACTGTCAATGGTGATTTGTAGGACATCTGCATAATTGAGGAGGAAGAATGGTTCCAGGTGCTGCAGGGAGGACAAATTAGGAGCAATTATATGAAGTTGTACAAGGAGTAATTCAGCCTCAGATGGGGGGAATGGGGGAGGGAAACAAACAAACAAAAAACCAAACCCAAAGCACATTTTGCAGTACGAGCTGTTTGACTATGGAACAACCTTTTCATCTGTGAAACTCCGTTGCTGGAGATATTCAAAGATGGTCTAGGTAAAACATTTATGAATATCAGCAAGGACAATAATGTATATTTGTGGGGGTGGATGGGATTATTATCCATTTCTGCATGATTATATGGTTTAAAAGATATGGCGTTCCTGATGGTTGCCTTAACGGGAAAAAAATTAATTTTCTAACCCTTTTCCAGCCTTTATCCAAGAATGTTTATTCATATTTCCTTTTGCTTTTTATAAGCACCAGTTATACCTTCACTCCCTGTATTGAATGGCTTCATTTGGCTGTGGGTATTGAACTCTGTCTCTGTTCCCTATGTTAGTCCTCATCAGCTAATAACAGGAGCTAATTAATCAAATACTATTGTTCTGGCAAAACAATGCACTTATGATTGAAAATTACAATTTGTAAACTGCAACTAAGTATTGTAGGCTTCATTAAGAACCCAAAGACCACTTGAGAAAGACAAGCTGCTCAGTACACTTAGTAAATCCTAAGAATGTCATCATTTTGCCATTCTCTCCCCGTATGAACTGAACAACAGTTGAGGTACATCACTCTGAACAAATATTTACAAAAAAATTAGTACCTAGTATACATTTGCAGTAAGGTATCAAGATCAGGAATTCCAGAGATATTTTTTTTGGACAGATCAAGTTTTGCTCAGCACAATGTTTAAAAGCTGAGCATCCCATAATGATTAGATATGAAAATGTATTACATCAAATATTTGTTAGAAAAAAAACATTCACCACATGTATGTTGCCTCATTCAGAATAAAATAACTGGATAGCAATGGCATTTTATTGGAAAATATCTCATCAATATCAGGTACATGTAATCAGCAAAGTGATACTGAAGGCTAAAGATTTGAGCTTAAATGTTGTATTAAATACTTTCAAACAAGGGAAATGTAGAGGTCCCACTGGATCCAACCTTCTACAAAGTTTGGGCTTACAAGTGCATATATGTGAAAGGTAAGTTGCACTGATGATAACTGAATTTCAATAAGAGTAATAGAGGAAGAAGAAATTCAATACACCGGATAATTCCAAGATATGTATCAATTGGAAACATCTTAACCTATTGAAATAGGTCATTTTGTTTTAATCATTTGTGAAGTGAAGGTTGACTTTTAACAGCTTCAAATGTTGCACCACAGCAGGTTCCATTTTGATGAGCTAGGAAAAGTAGAATATTTATCTAAACCTTGGAGTCTGCCAAAATGGGCCTTGTAATCTAAAGAGAAAAGGTTCTCTTGTAAAATTTCTGCACTGAGACCAGTAAACACCATGACATTTTAAATATTCCAGTACTTATGCAGTTGGATCTTTTTTAGAACCTGTATGTTAGGAGACATTGCAATGAATAATATTTTTGACACCCTTTTTTGAATCTGAGAAGATTTGGTTATTATTATTAATAAAATAAAATAATAAAATTGCTGGCACTGTAATTTTCAAGCTAGAATGAAACTTCTTGACTACACATAGAAAGATATGGACCAGCTGAAAATTTGGACCTAGATCCAAACCTTCCTCAAGAGAGTGTTAAGTGGCTTACCTAAAGTCACAAGGTAGGAGAAATGGGACATCTAGAGATCATCTTTTGTCCATACACAGTATGCAAAATATATTTTTAAAATTCCTAGAATACTATGAATCAATGGTTCTCAACCTTTCCAGACTACTGTACTTCTTTCAGGTGTCTGATTTGTCTTGGGTACTCCAAATTTCACCTCACTTAAAAACTAGTTGCTTACAAAATCAGACCAGCTAGCTTAATTTCAGTACCCAGAAACATAATGGAA